ACCGGAGTGCGGTAAAGCAGATACTTCGGTGTCTCAAAGCCACTATTGAGTTTGGGCTTTAGTTTCGTGCTTGTCCTGATATTGTTCTCACTAGTTACTCTAATGCTGATTGGGCGAGCTGCCCTGATGACAGGTGATCTACTAGTGGGTACTCTATTTATCTTTGTCCTAATCTTATTTCCTGGAATTCCAAGAAGCAAGCCACCATTGTTCGTTCGAGCATGGAATCTGAGTTTTGCACTCTAGCTAATTCTATCACTAAAGTGTTTTGGATTCAATCTCTTCTTGCTAATTTGGGTTATTCTATCTCACCTCTTGTCACCTGGTGGGATAATATTGGTGCTACTTACTTGGCTGCTATCCAATATTTCACACTTGAATGAAACATGCTGAGGTTGACAATCACTTCCTCAAAGACTTGTCCACCAAAAAGCAACTTCAGATCTGGTACGTTCCTTCCAATGATCAGATTATGAATGTGTTCACAAAGCCACTCTCGACCTCCCTGTTTGAGCTTCTTCCGTCCAAACTTCATGTCTCCCTGTTCAGCTTGAGGGAGCGTGTTAGCACTATCAGATCTGGATTAGGATAATACTAAGATTATTACAACTCCTAGGAGTCCTTTGTTTATTGTTATCCCAACTCCAAGAGAATCTTTGTTTATTGCCGTCTTATCTTTTCTATTCAAACTTATCATGTACTATTAGAATTGCAACTCATCACAAACTATGAATAATCTATATATACTTACCAAAGATTGGCCCAACATTATCACTGAATCCTAGAGTGTTTTTCTATTCAATTATTCTTGTTCTTTATTTGTTTCTATCTAGTTTAACTCCATGCAAGCCCCAATACAACATCTTAGATTCAGAAATAAATAACAAATTTGGCTTAGGCTCCCTAATACAAAGCGCCTTTAGTTCATCGGGCACTTCGGGGTTGTTATGGGACAACCACTCTAACCCTTTGGCTCTTTCTTAAGAAATAGCTATGGAATTCACCGAAGCCATGTCAGTAATATTACTAAGAGACCAGCAAACTCCAAACAACTAAGGCTATGTTTGCTTCTATGGGCATTTATAGGAGAAATGCCACTACATCGGTGACACATAGGTATTGGCGTTTATTATGGATGAAACCACTGTTTGGTTTTGACGTTTATCAAATAAACATTGAAAAACAGAAATGCTTTGATTTATGTGCATCAGACGTTGGGGAAAACTTTAAATTCTTGTTTCCTCCAAGAAAATTTATTGAAACGAAATGCTTATGTTGCACACTTTAAGCTGAGGTGAAAAGTAACTTTATGGGGTGCTACTTGAAATATTCATAAAATGCCCAACCAAGCAATAAAAACAATAAACATTTAAAGTAGCATTTTTCAAATAAACATTTATCTAATAAAGACCCCTTCAATAATAAACAGCTGTGAAACCAAACACATGCTAATTCTCCCACTAACCCTAGTCGATAATCCTTCTTCCCTGAACCCAAAAGCACCACTACCATCACCCTCACCAACCCAGTCAAACAAACTTAACTAACCTTCCTTTTATTCAAGGACTCACCTCCATCAATCTTACAAGTTGCAAACATACACCTTAGCAAAATTCATTTGTGTTCTCATCATGTCTATTCTCCGTTACCCACCACATGCATTACGTGCATTTACTACCTCCTTAACCATTGGTCATGTTGAAAATTCAAGAGTATTAGTGATCTATCTTGGGTAATTTTATAATTTTCTTTTGAGTAAAATACAAAAACTTTTCCTGAAGTTTTTGATAATCATAAAAACCTCCCCTGTAGTTTCATTTTAGTAAAAGCCTCCCATGAATTTTTTAAGGAAAACGACAAAAACCTCTATTCCATTAATGATCCAAATGAAAAATATATATATTTACAAAATTACCCCCAAAGTGTCATTTAAATATATTATAAAATAGGGAAAATCTATGATATATATGATATGGAAAGAGTTTTGACCATGGATTTTGATAAATAACACATGATTAGCTGCCACATTTATGATTCCAGTTGACTGCTCTTAAGTTTTTCAGATATCATATATTTTTTCAGGCAACATCTCCCCATCTCCCTCGTTTCCCCTAACAAAGAAGCACTAACTAAGTAGCTACAGCCATAATCGTCAAACTATTCTCAGTCTGATGAGAGAGAGGGATCCTCAGTTGAATTCATTCATATTTATTTGAACATTATTATTTTGTATTGAAAAGTTGGGAAGATCTATCAGACATTACATAAATCCTACCCAGCAGAAACAAACCCACCAGTCATCACAATCATAAACAGAAAAGAAACAACGAGCTTCAAGCAGAGAAAGATGACTTATTCCTCAGTACTACTTTCCCTTGGCATCGAGTTGATTGAAGTATCCTTTGGATTACTCTCAAAAGCAACCCTAGAAATAAGAACCCCTCCACCACTAGGAGCCTTCGTGTACTTGCCACCACCGCCACTAGACATACCGTAGCTGCTTGAACCAATCCCTAATCTGCAACCACTACCACCACCACCTCCGCCTCCTTTCCCTCCACCGCCACCACTGCCACCTACCTCCTTTTCCACCCATATTTTGGTAACACACAATCAACTAGAGAGGACAGTGTTGAATTCACTACCAACCTGAAATGATTTAATTCCATAAAATTTCATGAATCGTAATGTTTGTTTGGCTCATGAATAAGCTGGTTGGGAATAAGGTATTATGTTCCTTTCCTCTTATTCATGGTTAAACTGTTCACAGATTGACTGCCAACTGAGTGATAAATTTATAGCTGATTGAGAAATCAGCATATTGATTCATTCAGCATTAATCCACCCTAAAATCAGAAACCAGCCCAGTGTGTTTGCCACAAGGCTGACAACCATCAGGTCCGAGAATCTCTCCCAAAACTATAAAAAAGCAGCAAGACAAAAGGCTGGAAGAACCCCATTCAATCTCTATTCTGGGTTGGACAAGCTGGAGAACAACTCCCCCACAACCATTGAAATAGTCTCGTTCCTCCCAAGTACCACCCTACTGCTGCACTGATGCTGAGTGGCACACTCTAACTAATCTCCAATGCAAAGCAGAACAAATCCCTCACTTGAGTTCATTATGCCTGCACCAGCCGTCTATGCATCTCTGCACAGGGCACAGAACAAGAATTACAAGAGAACACGGTGCTTGTCCTAAGGAGCGAGTTAGAGCAAAATGCCTTGATAATTGCTATCGAGATCGAGATGAAAGATCGAAAGGTGCTTTTGATGGAGTTTGGATGAAAGATTGAAGGAGTTGTGTTCCCTCTCTTGAGACAGTGGAGTTGGATAGGAAAAGAGGTCGATGGGAGAAGCAAAGAGGATAATAGGTCAATAGGGGTATTTTAGTAAAAATATATGCAAGCTAATTTATAAAGGGTAAAATGGGAATTTGGAGAAAATTGATGCATCGATTTAACGTTTTCCGTCTGTGTCATTTACGAAAGGGAGGTTTTTGTTAATTTCTATAGTTTTTTGCTAATGTGAAATTATAGGGGTGATTTTTATGATTATCAGAAATTTCAGGGGAGTTTTTTTTCTTTTTTTTTTTTTCTTTTTTTTTTTGTATTTTACCCCATTCTTTTAACTTTTTGTCTCATGTATTAGTGATCTATCTTAAAGGTGGATATTTTAGACATGTAAAAAAGGTAAGTCCTTTTTGTCTTGTAAGCTAAAAGAACGTTGAGAATAGAACATGAAGTGAAAAAAGAACTGTAATCTTGCTTTTCTATGTTCTTTCTTTTAATCTTCTCTTCTAAAATCTTTTCTTTTCTTTGATTAATCTGTCTACCACACTTCCATTGCTCCAAGTCTCCAACAGGTCTATTCCCACCAAGACTCTCAATTTTAACCCCTTCGCCTTCCTCCTTGCTCCAGCCACCCACCATACTTCCATTTGCCCATCTCCGGCGAAGGCCCACCACCCGTTGAGTAGTCCCAACTCCCATCGTCCACCCTCAGCGGCCTTCCACCTCCTGTCAGTCGACCAATTATTGTTGGTAGATCATCAGCTCTCAACCATGCAAACCTGAATTCTAACTATACTTCTATCAGCCTTTTCTGGTTTATCTTATTTTACACTTGTCTCTCTTCCCTTCTTTGTCTCTGTTAGTCTGAGAAGTGGATTAAGTGGAAAAGATGGTAAGCAAGATAAGAGTCTCCCAAGGTGGAAAACTAGCGCCAGCAATACTTGACTGAGTATTATTTTTCTGGTATATCTCTTAAAGCGTACATTTGTATTTCTCTCCTGGTCCGAGAGAAAAGGATCACCATTAAATTAATGGAAAACGTTAGTGAGCAAGAGAGAAGAGTTTCCCATGGAGAAGATCTCGCACCAACAACGCTTGAGTGAATCTTTCGCTTCCCTTAGCTAGCTCCCGATGATGAGGATATATGGATAAACATCCAATAATTAACAGCAACTAATAGTACGTATTTCAACGTCTCATGACTCTGATCCCATCTCAATGTAAATTCAACCAAATAAGCCAATATTTCGGGGTAGAGTTCCATGAAACCAAACTGAGAGATGGAAAGCTCTGACTCCGACCAACAAGAGGATGAGAAGATTTGTGGTTGTGGCCTATAATTCACATTTGACTTAAACACAAATACGTGTCCTGTTAAGCATTCCCCTCTGATTTTGTCAAAGCAGCAAACCCTTTCCTTCCATGTGAATTTTTAGTTTATTATAAATAGACTGATTAGCTTCTACCCAGAAATTATTCACCTCCATACATCACTGGAGAGAGAGAAGAACAGAGAGAGAGAGTAGAGAGATGCTAGCTCTTCTTCCAAGTTTTCTCTCATCATTTCTGGGTTGTTTCTGAACTTTGGCAGGCAGGTACATTGGTATTACATATTTGCCAACCTCTCTCTCTCTCTCTCTCTCTCTCTCTCTCTGGTAATCTGGTTTCATTTATTTGTTATAAGAATCATACGTTGCTCTCTGCAGAATGAAGAAAGTTTGCTGGCCTTACTTCGATCCTGAATTTGAGAACTTCACGGAGAGGATACATGGCCCCAGGTCAGTCTGCCTGCCTCCCTCACTCTTATCTCCGCCTACACTAGCTACCATTAATCCACCATTTGACGGGTCCCGCCTAATTAGCCATCACCATCTCCTCAGTAATGACGCACCTTCCTCATTTGATGGTCGTGTCATTGTGATGTTAGCCATGCATGTAATTAGCCAGCCAAAAAGACAATGTAATTAGCTCTCTTTTCCTTCATATTCACAAATTAGAATTTTAGATAGATAACAAATTTGACGTTGAATTCACAAGAGTTCTGAAGGAGCTAACCAGGAATCTTCACTTTTGTTCCACTGTTGATCTCCCAAAGTTCTGCTGCTCAAAATTAATTAAGAAACACCTTTTATGACCTAGAGGATGTGGCTTATAGGGCTGGCATTGATTGATTGGAGGATTGAAGAGACGGCTAATGCAGAGGGTCCACGATCCAATCGAGGATTCAGACTTCAGATCTGTTAGAACATCCTTTTTTGGGAAAAAAATAGTTGGATCATGAAGAGGACCAAAACAGGGACCTGCTTTAGTAATTAAGCTGACATTGTTTAATTGTTTGAAACAATTGGTGGAAAGGTTTTTCAATATGAATTGGACCGACCAATAATGCTCAAATTAAATTATCCACTCAGGTTGATATTTAGTGTTGAGAATCTTTGAAATGGAGTCTGCAAATTGAAGCCTTCCTATTGCAGAATTATATTAAACTTTATTGAATAAATCCTTTCCATTTTATTTGGAACTTAGAAGCTTCTGGCGGTTCTGACCCAGATTTGATAAGAGCAATCCTGTCCATTTGGAAAACTCCCTAACCCTAAAACTGCACCAAATTTGAACCAGCAGGCCAGCTGCTGAATGTTGAAACTCAATCACTTGTGTTTTCATGCAGCTGCCGAGTTTGCATTGACAACGAGAGCTTTGAGGATTGCACTATTGTCAAGGTGGGTGAGAGAGAGAGAGAGAGAGAGAGAGAGAGAGAGAGAGAGAGAGAGAGAGAGAGAGAGAGAAAGAAAGAGAGAAAGATTAAATGAATACGAGTCACCGAGCATGTCGAAGTGATATTTTTTGTTTCAGGTAGACAGCGTTAACAAGCAGGGTCTCCTCTTGCAAGTGGTGCAGGCATTGACAGAAATGAATCTGTTCATCTCCAAGAGCTACATTTCCTCCGATGCCGAATGGTTCATGGACGGTATGCTACCCTACCATTTGATGGGTCCCATCTGGTCTGGACCCCATCTATGATAAAACCAATCTTAGCCCTCCAATTTGACCAACCTGCATGTGTTGCATCTTTTGCATGCTTTGCACTCGCAGTGTTTCACGTCACAGATGAGCATGGCAACAAACTCACCGACCAGAACGTCATCAACCGTATTCAGCAGGTATCCTTTGTCTTATACACCATAAGCCAGGTCTATAAACATCATGGTTGTACAAATGGCGACACGTGGATAAATCAGAACCCCTACCCCACCATCCTCCTTACGTGGACCACGTGGGCGGTCAGCGACCGACGCCGGATTTGATATTCACATCTTTCCTAGGTTATAAATTGGGTACCCCCACCCCATGACAAACCATGCAGGTCATAGCTAAAAGGAAGGATCCCCGAGACTCCAGCCAGGTGAAGTCCGGTGCCGGAACCGGAAGAGAGAACACCGGCGAACACACGGCGATAGAGTTGACAGGAACTGACCGACCCGGTCTCTTCTCTGAGATTTCAGCAGTGCTTAAGGACTTGAAGTGCAATGTGGTGGAGGCCCATGCCTGGAGTCACAACGAGCGCCTGGCTTGTGTGGCTTACATTTCTGACCAGTCGACGGACAGCCCAATTGACGACCCCAGAAGGCTCGCTACCATTGAAGAGCATCTCGCCACTGTCCTCGGCGCCACCATCAATGGCTCCGGAACTCATGATGAACAAGGAGTGAAGACAGCAGGTCTTCCACCACCTGGTGGAAGCATTAATGGCATAACAACAACCAACGTGGAGCGCCGGTTGCACCAGCTCATGTTCGCCGGCCGGGACTTTGATGGGCCACCGGCGAATGCAAGCTTATCAGCGCTCCCATCTCCAGCCGAAGGTGAAGAAGAAAGGAATAAGAAGATAATCGTGACGATAGAGAGCTGTAATGAGAAAAGGTATTCAGTGGTGACGGTAGAATGTAAGGATCGGCCGAAACTCATGTTCGATACGGTATGCACGCTTACTGACATGCAGTACGTGATTTTCCATGCTTCCATATCTCCTCATGGAGATTCTGCATTTCAGGTACGCTTGAGCCAGCAAATCCCCAAGTATGTATACGTACCAGCTCTCTCTCTCTCTTCATCTCTGTGTTCACAATGATAGCTTGAGTATTCATTTATTAGACGAAAAATCAGGAAATTTGATCTTAAAATGATAGCTTTAGTATTCATCAGAATGGGTTGATTTCTTTTTCTTTCATTCTCTCAGACTCTCACTATTCAGTACTTACAGTACCTTAATCTAGTACCAGTGTTACGTTCATGGACGACAGATGGTATTGCTTTTGCAGGAGTACTACATCCGGCACATAAATGGCTGCCCACTGAACACAGAGAGTGAGAAGCAACGAGTCATAAAATGCTTAGAAGCAGCTCTAGAGCGTAGGGTCTGTGAGGTGATCAGATTGCTCATTGCTACCAGAAGATTAGTTTAACTTGGGTTGATTCTTCTTCAAGGCTCCAAGCATCTTCTGAAACTCATCTGTTGATGGTTTTTGTTAATTATATCTTAGTCTCCTCATTCTTCACGTATGGGCTGCAGGGTGTCCGACTGAAGTTATGTGCAAACAATAGAATTGGGTTGCTTTCAGACATCACCCGGCTGCTACGTGAGTATGGGCTTGCCGTTGTTCGAGCCGATGTAGAGACACAGGGAGAGAAGGCGGTGGATGCATTCTACGTGCGGGATATCTCCGGCAACGAGGTCGACATGAAAATCGTCGAGTCCATGAAAAGAGAGATGGAAGCACTTGCTTTAGAAGTGAAGAATGAACCATCGTCACACAGGCGGAGCTCACCTGAAAGGCCCCCATTCTGCTTCTCTTTTGGAGACATTCTTAAATCACAGATTGAACGATTCTCTCACCACTTTATTCCAATCAAGTGGACCAAGAATGCCGTTCGTCAACCACACATATTAACATTGCTGTATTAATTTCTTGACTTGTATATAAATAATCAGTTTCTTTGGATTAATAATTGCGCTACCTGTCTGTAAATTTATAAACCAAAATAATCAAATGTTCCTCATTATCCTAATGTCTGGCATGAGAACTGAACCTCATACAGTCGAACTAAGAGCTGAAACTAGGAGTCTAGGGCAGCTCGATGAGGGACATTAAGCTGGAACTGTAGGGAGCTGAATTGGTTATACTGGTTCTGTTTTGTATCATCTGGTTCTTTAAAAGTGGAAAAGAATACTCAGATGGTCAAATCGTCAGGTTTCCAACAGTTTCAGTGACTTAGAAATATCGACACTGCATCGAAATTTATCAAGTTGGGCTCCATATGTTCTAGCTTGTGCCTCACTGGGCGAATTTGTAACTGGACCATCGACATGACAAGTTTGATTTTAGCTTGTCCACCATAAACGAGATGAAGGAAAATCAAAACTGAAATCAATTTCCATTATTAATCTCGGATAAGATGGATTAATTATGGAATCTTAACAATACTCAGGCAATGACCACTAGTGATATATACTGTATCCGCGTGCACAGTGACTAGTAATGTATTTGGGTGGAAGGAAGATCATTAATTTCGTCCAAGCTCGTCCTGGATGTAAATGTAACTAATTTTGTAATTAGTAATTTGACGATGTCAATATGATTAATTTGAATCAGATTGTTGTGCCTTGTCATACCAAGCACTAAAGTCTAACTATGACAATGATACCTAAATTTATGATAATCTTATTGGGTTTGAAATTCTTATTAATTACATGGATTTCTCAATATTAGAAAATCAAATTTTTAGACAGATTTCGTTCAAATGAACTTCAGATGACAACTGTAATTTCATAGGTTAACATTGTCAAATTAATTGAAGATGCTCTTTTGTCAATTTCTGGTATAAATTGATTGGTCAATGGTTTTAATGGTTAATTAGACAGTTAAGTTAACATGAAGGCACCCAAAAGAGAAGTCAAGACAACCATCAGCAGCAAATTATCCACATTTTTTTTATAGATAAATTGTCCACATTTATACATTGTAAATTGTCCACATTCCATCCAAAATGACCACAGAACAAAGTATACACAGAATAAACAGATGTGGTATGAGATAAACAATGGTGTAACACATCACAGTAACAATAGGTAATTGACAATGTGAGTTTATCCATAATGATTACTAATTTAAATAATAAAGCTTATTTTATAGGATGAAAGACAAAAGGTAAAGATAATTGGCATAGAACTTTACATGAATTTGGCCTCAAGCAGTTATTGAAATGCCTCAATCAAAATCATCAACAGTAAGCCAGTCACTTGACTCACCCTCTGAATCTTTCTCCTGCAAAGGTGATTGGACTGAGTTTTTCTTGCCACCTCGAGTATCAGAACTTTCATTCAGTTGAACCCATTCATTTGATTCATTTGTTGAAGAAGCTCCAACAACCTCTGCTGCTGAATTTGAGTGCTGTTCTCTTCTAAAAGCATCATTGTCATCATCATCTTCTAAATCACTGAAGGAGACATCTTCCTCATTTCCAAGATGTTTTTTGGCATCAAAGCAAGTATCTGTCCCATTACTTTCTTCCTCTAACCATTTCTCGATATTCTCCTGTTCATCAATGTCTACCTGGTGATCTGCATTTACAGTCGCAGACAAAACATCCTTTTCCTGAACTGAGCTGTTCCCTTCTTGGATGTTATGACCAGTACTGTTGCTCACCTCTAGAGAGGGAGAATCATCAGTCTTAGGGCACTCCAGTTGTTTATTCTTCCTCATTTGAAGCTCCTGCAGTAGTCTATCTCTGGCTTCCACAATCTGCAAGTAATGATAAAACAATAAACATTGAGACATTTATCCATTATATAAAAGTAAAACATTCACCTGCCCCACCCCACCCCCTCCCAAAAAAAGTAATGCTAAAAACAAAAAGAGCTATACTGCAAAAAGATGCCTAATTATGATTTGTAATGTTTTCTTCTCTCTCTCTCTCTCTCTCTTGAAAAGTAAGAAATTTCATTAAAAAAGGGAAAAGAGGGAGAGATTCCCTTGCATGCAGAGAGAGCTAGAAAGACGAAAATAAAGAGAAAATTACATAAAGATGAGATGTTTTCTTTTTTTTTTTTGTAATATTTCCTTTTTAGCAATGCCCTTTTTCCCTATATCATCCATTACATAACTTTAAATGAATTTTGCATTCCTCTTCTAAGGGCATTATGTTATTGAAAGAAAGTAAAAGCAAGAATTATCCAGAATTTCAAATCCATAGGCATGAATATTTGAATGACAGAAAGAAAAATATATCAGCCACTCATGAATAAGTTCAGTTGGAAGTAAAGCCAAATGGTGGCCAAAATATTTTGATCAGATGTTATATGGGGAAATAAATAATACATAAATGAAGGAAAGGAAAAACTTGTGAAAGAGGAGCGGTTTGCACAAATTCCATTTTATGATAAAGGGCAGGCATTAGTCAAAAAATTGTATTTTTCACTAGTGATATGGATGGTTTATCAAAAATAGAATGTGCCCAAATCAGTACCGTTGTAAATTAAAGAAATAAACATGTGAAATGGAGAAATTTTCACTTCCCCTAATTTTCTTCAAGGAAGAAAGCAACCTTTATTTAAAGGGAAGAGGTGGGCTTCCTAAAATTCATGGACTACGCAAAGATGAATTTTATCCACAAAGAGCATAAAAACATCAATATCAAATATTTGCAAACCAAAGCTTGATCATATGAACTAATAATTCATGCAAAGTGGAGCATGGAACACAAACCTGTATCTTCTACATACATAAAACCATAAAATAATTGCAGATACAATAATGCTGATCAATAAAGAAAACAAAACTGTATATCCAGGCTGAAACCAACAGTTTGGTAAGAGTTTGCCAAACAGGAAATAGACTGGCCAAGAGTGGGTTGGGAGGAGTGAGCTGTATGTGGATTGTCTATTTCAGGATAGTTTCTTGATTTTTTTT